TAGATAGATAGAAATCTTTCTTTATTCTGGATACTCAGTCAGTATTAGTACACTGTTCTTCCCTGAGGTCCAGGGTGTGATCTTAAATTACATTAAATTGTAAAACAAAATTAAAAGAAAAATGAAAAAAAAAAATGTATAAAAATTACATAAGCACAAGAAACAAGAAAAGAAAAACAAATGGATAAATTAAATGAGATTGTTATAAGGGTTGTAAGGAAAGGGAATGAATATTGCTATGAATGTCTGAGGACAGATTATTCCATGATTTAACTGAGCGATATTTAAAAGCTTTTTTTTTTCTCCAAAATCATTTAGCCATTGTGGTAGACTAAAGTGTTTTTTCAATTTACTTCTTGTATTTATGCTATGGTACCACCTGCCAGTCTGATCTAGGTGACTTATCTCAAGCTGGGCTGTGTTCCTATACAGTAGTAACTAGGCCTGACGTGCCACCGTGTTTAACTTTTCTTTTCTGTGGTTATTTTTTATCTGATTGTTAATGTATACGTACGTACAACGATGAAGCCTAATAAACACTTATAAATTTGCAAAAATTACAACCCCCTGACGATTATATTATGATGAACTGTAGGCCTTTGATAGCCAAGGCTATTTTTGACCGGAAATTCTCATTGTTTTCCATTTTAATCACCTGCATGATCGCTTTAGCTTGAGTTGCGCATGCTCAATAGTTGCATAATAAAGTTTGATTTTTCCCATTTCTATTTCATACCCTCTTCGCAGACGTTGTTTGCTTCTTAGACGTCTTTTAGGTAACTACACATGCTTGGCAGGGCTCGACAACATCACTTACCCGGTGCACATGCTCACTGGCTGTCTAGCATTTCCAAGCGCATGCCCACTGTGTTTTTATAGATATTTCATGGACGTTCGCATGCGCATTGCTTAGTTTGGAATCCCCATACCTTCGTACAGAAGTAAAAGCTACCGCTACCTACAGTTTCTTAATGACTGTTTCCCCTTGATCGTAGCAGCCTAAAGGTGCGGCGCGAAAAAATGAAATTAACAATTTTAAACTGTTGCTATTTATACTGTAGTACATGTCATTACATAGAAAATGACCATTATACAGGTTTGGTATACATTTTTATACACATGGTGTAGGTATAGGCAGTGCAGCCAGTTCAAAGCACTGGGGCATGAGACTAATTCTGGCCCCATTCAATAGGCCTTTAAAAATCATATTGAAATAAAAATAAATGTTTCCTACTTGATTTTTAATAGAAAAAATTACTACAGCCAATAAGTCTCTTTTAATAAAGGTTTTAGATTAGATAAATATTGATTATTGTATTCATTTTTGTGTATGTGTAAATGTAAATCATTATCTAATGTTTTTAAAATTCAATCAAATGCAGTTTGTTTATGTTTGTGTTTACACCGAGTGCAACATACAATTCTACATGTACAGTACGTCGCTGTTTATGCAGCTGGTTTGATTGAGAATCAAGCTTCTTTCCTGTGCTTACAATATAACCATATAGTTTAGTGTTGAAAAAAAAGATGCATCACTGATTTTCTTATTGAAAAAGTGTCACTTCTTTTCTTTAATAATCATTCATAAAAAAAACGTTATGCAAAAGTTTGGAATTGCTACACAAAACAAAAACTGCATAGCATTATTTGCTACACACAAAAAATTCTGGAAATCGAATGCTGGCTGCCAAACCCCAACCGTAACTCAGGCTACATTGTTGACCACTACATCAAAGGACCCAGTAATATTGCACAGGGACATGTCATTACCTAGCTACACCACTGTTCCAACCTGATTAAACCTTGATCTATGACTTGGCTCTCTGGTCTATAACTTATCGACCTTGTTTGTACCTCCATGTACAAAAAATGTATGGAGGAAGAGTGTGGGTTGCTGTTCTCAAGGTGTGAAAATTGCTTATTCTCATTCTTAAAAAAACAGTTGTATGCCCATGTGTGGCAAAGGCAAGCCAAACCAGTCAAGCCAAACCAGTCACTCACTTGTCGCAAAAATTATTTTTAGTTATTAAAACAAGGTTAAACAGTAAAATATGAGCTACAGTATACAATGGTATTTTAAATTCTATTTTTTTTTTTTTTGCAATAATGATTATAAGTCTTATTTTTAAATTTCTTCTGTTTTTCTTCCTAAGTATTATAAATTTTTATTATTTATTATATCTTCTATTTTAAATTGCTGTTTCTCTAACGATGGATTAACTAGCTTGTGAGCTACAGCGATTTTAATTGCTTTTGTTTATCCTTGCTTCCTTTAGATTTTCAGTTTTATTCTGTATTGTGAATTTTTATTTTACTGTATGTGCAAATTGTAATGTGATTTTTTTAAAAGGCTAAATAAAGAATGAATGAATGAATGAATATTAAAAAAATCATTTAAATCCGACAGTTTGTGAAGTTACAGGAGTTTCAACATACAGCAGTTTAAAGAACAATATTTGAGAAATAAGCCTGTAAAGCTTATGATTTCGGGCAATTCGCAAGCAGAAATCATTACCAAATCCTAAAAAAATGTTATTTTAACATTGAAGATGAGGAAAATAAGTGCATAGCATAATATATAGATATATAGAGATTAATTTAGTGCAACATTTTATCTCTGAAACAGGATTTGCGATGAGTTGGTTTGGCTTGTCTTTGCCACATATATAGTCATGATGTTCCTATGTTCATGATGTGAAGTCATAACGACCATATAGGCATGTCATGTTTTTTTGTCAAACAAAATTAAGTATTTCGGAAAAGATTAAAACATAATAAACTTACTTAAACCTGAACTGTTGTCCTAAGTCATCCACATCACGTGGTAGTATTTCAAATATTCCTGTCATCGGAAAAGGATGCCCTCCAAATGCATATTCTGAAGGTTAAAAATAAACAATATAAAAATATGTTAATTTAACAAAACAGCATATATTTTTATACAGGTTTTAATATGCAATTATTAAACAAAACGCCTACAGCATATTTGATCTACTGTAAGCACTGAAGTCTTTACCGGGGAATCATGTCAATGTCAAACGAACCGATGCGATTATTATTTATTTTATATCAAACCGCCTGGAGACGATCTGTCAATTTTATAAGGTGCTATATAAATATTAAGTCTGCCGGTACAACAATATACTGTATTTTATGGTGCAAAAATTAGTATGCAACAAAGACTATGTACAGAACAATATACTGTACCTAGGTAAAAATCAATATATCAAAAGACCTGTATCAAAATATAAATATACTGTATTATACAGTTGAACTTGATTTTTAATCCAAATGGCACTGAAAAATTGTTCGACTTCCATAAAAATTTGACTTATAGATTGTTAATTAACGGAAAACACAACAATTTGGCATGTACTGTAAAATAAGATAAACTTAGAAATTATTTGATTTAATATTAAAGCAAAGCCGACTTAGGCAAGTTTTACTGTAGTAAAATTTACGGTAACATTTAAAACAATACAGTAGACCTACAATACCTAATAAAAGGCCAAATATCTGTAAAAGAAAAAAAAAACTAATAAAAAAAAACTCTCAATAAATATATACCAGTGATTTATGCATAAAAATATTTCTTCAGGGTAGGATACAACTTGTAGTTTTTCAATGTACTACTGAAGTAGGCTTATAGAAATACAAACACATCCTTTAAAGGGTTTTATTTCCTTCTTTCTTTTTTGACTTTCTTGTGGAGGGAGGGGTGCCATGAGTGTTTTCTTTTGAAAGGTACTTTATAAATTTTCATTATCATTATTATTATTTTCATTATTATTATTATTATTATTATTATTATTATTATTATTATTTTCAATATTATTATTATTATTTTCATTATTATTATTATTATTTTCATTATTATTATTATTATTTTTGTTATTATTTTCATTATTATTATTATCATTATCATTATTAATATTATTATTAATAAACTCTATTCACACTATCAAATTATATGACAAAAAAAATGTGATTTGCCAATATTTGGTATAATATGACATCATCATATCCATGAGCACATCACATAAATATTTCGCATAAAATTTGATAGCTTTAATGGAAAACATGGGAAACATAAACATTGTTGACATAATATTTATGTGATTTTTGATGGCACTTGTTTGTACAAGTTTAATAAAATACAAGATAGCAGAGTGGTACCAGCATAACAAAACCTTTTCCTCTTCAACCCTATAAAATCCTTCATTTTACAGTGAACATGTTATTTCGGAAACTATATTAAATTCACTGTGTCAAATATTTGAAACAAAATTACAAAATTTAAAGTATGAAGTTAAAACAAAGTAAAGTTGCATTTCTATCTGTACCTCTAGAACATATCCTACTGTTTTCTCTCAATTCAATATCGCATTCCTTGAAACTCGACAAAAGTACAGTACTCCCTCTTGAAATTGATTAATAATGTAGTTTCAATCTAATGATCAGCCCCCTCAACTACTGTACTGTACTCTCTACCATCCATCTGAACTACGGCAATATCTCTCCCTATTGACAACAACTGTCTCATTTTCCCTTCCAAGCAACAACCTCTAGATTCCTTCACTCTACACGCCCCTATAATACTCACTCTCATTTATAACTTCAATCTCATCCCATTTTTCTTCCAACACCACCTATATTAGGCAAATACCTGAAATGTAAACCTTAAAAGCCTTTTTCAATTTTCTGGGTATGTGGGCGAATTATTGCACCAAATTTTTGCTTTACGTTTTGTATTTAATTGCTTTTATTGTCATGCTATGTATTTCTAAAGTGGATATTTGCCCACGATGGTTATCTGTAGCAAATAAAACTGAAACTTGAAACTTGAATTTAGATCATGATTCTATATTTTTATCACAGTATTTTATAAAGCATTATAGGAGTGGTTTGGCACAGCAGGAACGGTTTGGTTTCCCAACATTGTGAGGTCGGGGTTTCAAATCTCGCTGTGCATTTCGCTCGTGCCCTTGAGCAAGGTAAATTTAAATCTGCATTGCTTAACTTAAGGTATAAAACATGATACCACACAACAATAGTATTAAGAGAATTATAGAGAACTGAAAAAATACTCCTTCCCGTTTACAAGACCTGTTATGCAGACATACTGTATTAATAAATGAAAATATATACCAATAGCAGTGCCAGGGTTTGTATGAAAGGGTGAGCTAGGGAAGGGGAGTGGGTGGTGATGTTCCAGATGTGGGATAAGTGGCAGTGCTAAGAGACACTTGTATGAAATTTGGGGATGAAACCACCTTGGAAAACCTATTATTTAGGGAAATGAAATACTTGTTTAATCAAATCTAATTACATGTAACTGTAAAGATTGTGATAGCACACGCTCCCTTACTAAAGACTGTGCCCTGACCCCCTCTCCCACTTCCAAATGAATATTTATTCCATTAAAATATGAGACTGACTATTTAACTTCAGAAGTTGTTCAATACATCATCATACTAAATGTACTGTACAGTATATAACTACTTTTTCTAATTGCATCACAACCTTTCATTCAAAATCAATAATGTAAATTTCCATACTCTCTACTAAAACAAAAACCATCAATTAAATATTTAACATCCCTAACATACTCTTGTCACTTATAATAAATTTTGTATCTAATTTTCAATTCAAAATTTTACATCATTTTGCCTTAAACAATACAGTACAGTTATAGTTTAAACAGGGTTTATAGAGGGTTAGCTTTGTGTAACTAGAAGATGGACATATTTGGTTCTTTGAAAAAGAGTTCTCGAAATAGAGGGGACTCAAATTGGAAGGTGCACTGCACTTAACATCTTGGAATAATAATTTATATCCTTGTCATTAAATTTGTAGATTTTAATACCATGTGACATTAGAGGTTTAGCCAGAAAAAACGAAATAGGCATTTCAAAAATGGAAGCCAGTGGGCGTGGCCATGAGCTGATGGCTGGGCCACGCACCCTCCCAAACATAAGAAAAACATAGAAAATTATGATCTTCAGAGGGCATTTAAAGGTGTTTAAATTTTCGAATTTTGTCATCAAAGGGAGTGTTGAATTAGCTATCATAAAGATATTTCAGTTTTTTGCGCACGGCTACAGTAATACTCACATAATTTTTCTAGGCTATGCAGATGCATCTTTATCTCTCGCCATAGTCTAGTTGCTGCGAAGCAGCCAATTCATATACTTGACAGCAATTTGACGTTTGAAAGGTCGTAGTTTGTCAAAAAACAAGGGCCTAAGACGACTGAAAAGCGGAGTTTACATCTTTCGTTCTGCCGGGTAAAATCAATTAATTTAGGCGATGTTTGTAGACTAACCAACACGTACCAACGTCCGCATGTCGTGCTAGCTTTATCCTACTCTAGGCCTAGACTAGCTAGGATGGTATAGGCCTAGCCTTGAAGAGACGAAGATCCCAATGAAAAACAACGTCGCTCCTTGATAGCTAACATTGTCTATTTAACATCACAATAATTCCTAATTAGACCTATAGTTGTCTCGTATCTATTGTCGTGACATCACACTTGCGATGTCTCGCACTTGTGATCAAATAACACGCTGGCTCGCACTTTGGCAAAACTCTTTGGCAGTCAACTCGCCCCTAGAAAACCCGCCCTTGGAAACTTTCCCCATAAAAAAATGTACACTTCCTAGACCAAGCAGCCTTCAAAATAAAAATTGTAACCTTTGCTAATCAACTACATTTTTCACATACATAGAAATTTTTGAAACTTTATTAAAAAAAACCTAAACCATAATTCACCACTATAGACACTATTTGACAAAAATGAAAAATTACGACTGTTACCCAATGAGAAGTGTTCTAATACAGACAATGGGTCGTGTCTCATATTATTTGTTATATTTTTATTATTCATTATTTTCACTTGACTCGCATAAATAATTTTGTTTGAAGAACATTATGCAGTTGTACTTTGCAGCACTTCACTTGCAATTTGCAATTTCTAGTTGTAAATTCTACTCCAGGTCCTTCGAATCAAGAGATAGGCCTAGACCTACTGTATTTTGTTGACTAACTTTGTTTAAAATTTAACAAATCTTCTTTACGAAATTTCATAAATTTGAGAAGCCCAGCGATCAGACTGCAATTTAAACCCTGGGGCTTTCAGCATATCATAAAATAAATTAATAATTTTGTGTAACCAAAAGAAAACATTTTCATTTGTCTAAAAATAGTCTGTTCCATCCAATGATCAGCCCATCTTTCAACAATGAATATTTAAATTTCCTTTTTTCAGATGAACAAAAATAAAAGAACACAATAGAAAAAATGGTAATTGTCAAAAATAAAAATCCAATTGTCATCTAGTTGCTACCAAATGTTGTATTGAGGACAATGCTTAGATGAGAAATAAATGCTTAAAAATTCAAGAATAAAGATTCAGTATTTTGATCTAGATATTCTTTGATTCTGATAGTATGTCAGTGAACTATATTGATGGAAGGAAATTAACAAAGTGGAGTTGAATATTCTCATAAAAATTCATTCATATAACAATCTATAATACTGAGCAAATTACATTCTCTTGACAGTATTTGTTTTCAACCCTGTCAAAAAATTCATTTCAAATTTACGCATTGTTAAACCTAACATAATCAAGAAATGAGTTTTTCAGGTACAGACTGATGCGTGGGCCGGAAAACGTGGTTCGATGTTTATTTTAAAAGGTGTGTGAAACCTATTCTTGAAATTTCCCACTAAGTTCTATAGTATTTACTCGTAATCTCATCCAGCGTGTTTATCAATTCCTTCAACCCAATTTTCTCTCGTTTAATGAGTAATTTATAATGAATTCTGCTTCAATAGACACTTATCTATAACAAAATATGCTTTATTTTCACACCAAAAGAAAATTCCTGTCATCTTCAACCTGTCGTTAGTAATCGAGTTGTGTTGGGTCATGACCTTAATGGGTCTGTCAATGACCGATGTAAGCTTCCATCCCTTTCAAAATGGACAGTGATTGCTTTCTTATTGATTCATGCATAATTAATTTTAATTAACATGTAAATATCAGGTTTAATGTACATAATACACATCTTGTTATTACTCTATAGTTATATTACAACATACACACTATACAGTATACAACTACGCCATAGTGCCAAGTACCTATCTAATATCTTAAAATGTTCTTGAATTAAACCTCCCTTTTCATACTACATACAGTACATAATTGAAAACCATGGAAACAAATAAAAAATGCTCAACACGGTCATTAATTATAATTGTAGCTCACCTTTACCGAACACCTCTACTCCGGAATGGAAGACTCCAAGTCCTAATGTTGTCGTATAGTCATTGATCCAATACTAACAGGCAAAATGGAAGGAAAATTTGTTTTAATATGCATGTTAATAATCTGGATTCATAAAAATATATTCATCAAAGATAATTGTACAGAAAAGTTTGTTTATGATATTTATAAAGCATTGTTATCATAATTACCGAACATATACGGAATATTTATCATCACTGTAAGCATTAATGTTTTAAAGTTTCGTGGGTCCTCAGGTATTAAGCCCACCTTGGGTACAAGCCCATCCGTTTATATACAATTACCAGCCTTTCCTAGGCAAAAGCAAAGGGTATGAATTTCACAAATATTCTCAGAAAAAACAAAATCAAATCTTTAAATTAGGCATACAGTGGCGAAAAATTTGCATTTTTTTTTTTTTATATTAAAAAAGTGGACTTCCCGGATATATGCTCATCCCCAAAACTTGGTCCAATTTTGTGTTTGAGGTGTGCATATACCAGAGGAACTGTAATTCTTATGATTGTTTTATGTTTATATAAATACTTGGTCATTATTTATTCTTATCATTATAATAATATTGAAAATTTATAAAACACTGGTATCCTTTTAAAAGAAAAAGCTCATGGTACCCCTCCATAAGAAAGTATATATAAAAAAAAATATATATTTTCGGTGCCTTGTCATCGTCATCATCACAAAAATCACCTGCTGTCCTCATCATCATCACCAACATCACCTGCTGTCATCATCATCGTCATCACCCGCTATGTCATCATCTCACCTCCACTAAAGATCATTAATAATAATAAAATCATAACATTATATTTTCAGTGGTTTATTACATTAACACATTTTTCATTGTTCTGTTTACGGGGGTCATGTAAACTCTTATTTTGTTTATTGTTTAATGTTGGATTAGCAACTAATTACACTGTGTAAATTCTCAAGAGAATTTAAATCTCATTCTGATTGTGATTTTCTGATTTATCCTAATAATATTTTAATTATTATCACAAACAATATTATAAATCAATAATTGATAAACAATATGAAACTAAAAATATAAAATAAAAATTAGAATGTCATACTTTAGTATATTTAGCAATTTTTAGTAAATTATTCCGGTCCCCTATGATGCATTTTTTCCCTTCCCTATGTGTTTTGTAATTTTTTAGTCCATTATACAGTACAGTATATTGATCCCTTGTTTACACTGTAATATAATACTGGTATGTACATATAGCAAGTTAATGCACCACATAGAGTATTTTAAATTCATTCGTTAAAGCTATAAAATAACAAATTCTTGGTGAATATCGTAATTTGATGCTAAAAATAAAACAGCGATAATAAAAACAGTTCCTCGTCGAAAGTGCCAGAAATATAGTACAGTATATGGCAAACACTTTTAAAGCAGAACAAAACATATTTCTGTCTATGGATGTCGAATGAAAATGGTAAAGTAACATTGCCAATGGAATATTAATAAGATTCTACAAAGTTAATATACCTGGATATTGATTTAGTATCAAATGTGATCACTTCAACTGTAAGAAATTAAACTGGCGATAAATTGAATTTAGCTGAATAAACTGTTGCTTAGGTGTCTGATGAAATATTAGTGAATATAAGAAATGCACTAAACATATTAGTTAGGCGAGAATTTTTTTAAATAGTGTCACGAACCTGCTGCTTGCTGATAATGAATAATAGAAAATTTTTATTTTTAGCCTACCAACCACTGTGAAAAATTGGAATATTTCTATATTTTTATCCCACTCACCTGCCTCACCAATTCCAATATGTCATGGTAAAAATATTTGTTTTTTCTTAGAATTAAAAAGGCATTTATCAGTGAAATTATGGTTTACGTCATCACATCGTATTCTTTATGAAATAACAAGCAATTTAATATTAAGCGAAGGCCTAAAGGCAACCTTGATTACTTTTACTTTAAACACTTGTATTTATTTTTTTATTCGTCAATAAAAAAAAAATAATTTTCTCTTCAACCTAGATGTTCTTGATAGACTAATTTTCCCATGGAAATAAAACTATACTATTATTTTTATTCCAAGTCCTTCTATAATAACCTTTAAAAAATAAATTTGCCAAAAATCATAGCAACTAGTCATTTTTTATAAGTGTACTTTTTAAGCACTCGCATATATTTTTTAATCCATCAATAAATTTTATTTTTCATTTTATCTTCACCCTAGTATGCTTTTGTTGATCAATTTTCCTAAGAAAAAAAAAATTTAAAGTTATTATATTTATTTCAATGATCTTTGAAAAATAAATCTGCTACAACATCATTGCAACCACATTGGTTTTTTTTATTTTATGATAACAAGGATAATACAGGTATTGATGATGATAATTATAAAAGTGATGACTTTTTGCTGATTAAAATTTAACACTTTTTGTTTGAAAGTTAGAATGAATAAGGCCAAAAAAAAAAATTGTTTGTTTGCCATCCTTCAACTGCCCCAACTCACTGAAAAAAATAGGGGCGGAAAAACAAAAAAAGTTGTTTATTTTTCTTTTTTCTTTACAAATAAAAAAAAAATGTGTTTGAATTTATCTTTATTTGTTTGTGGGTTATCTTTATTCCATCTGATGAGTATCTTAAATAAATGACTAAATAGATTTTTTTTTTTTAAATAAATGACTAAATTGATTTTTTTTAAAAACTTTTTCCACCCACCACTACATTTTCAAAATAAGAAGGGCAAACAATTTTTTTTGTTTTGGCCTAATCAACGTCTTTACCTTGACCACTACGGCCACCGAATAAAAAGCCAGACAGCTAGAGAAACTTGATAAAAATTTGTATTACTGTAAGCAGACGCCAATATAAATTTTCGAAAAAAATACATATTTTTATTAAATTGATAAAAGTGACAAAGGCCTAGTTCAGACTAGGTGGATAAACCCAGCTCATCTCACCGGGTTTATCCACCTGCCAGTCTGAACTAGGTGGCTTACCTCAAGCCAGGCTGTGTTCCTATAGTAACTAGGCCTGGCGTGCCACCGTGTTTAACTTTTCTAAGCCGGGTTTTAATCGTTGGTGACAAAATGACCAATCAGCATTCTATTACGTATGCGAGCGTACGTTTTGCGAGCAATGTTTTGAAACATGTTTCCTTGTTACGGTTCATAATTATGAAAATTCTCGCCTGGCTAATCCCACTAGTCTGAACGCCCGGCAAAGTTAAGCCGGGCTTAACTCAAGCCTGTCTTATCTCCAACCAAGTCTGAACGTGGCCGAAGATGATTATTTAAGGTGATTGTTGTACTGCAGTCGTCACTGGTACTACAGTAGTGCTGTACCACAGAGGGTGAGTTCAATGAATGTTTACAGTACTCATCTGCATTATATCAGTAGTTTCTTTTATACCCGACAAACCAAATTTAATTAATTCATTAATTCTATATACGTTCATCCAAGATCTTTGTAGTATGTACTGTAAAAAGTACGCCAAACAAATCCAGAGAGAAATGTACTCACCATATCATACACATTTAATTTAACTTCCGCCATTTTGTCTCCATAGTAGGTGTATAATGAATTGAGTGACATTTGAGTTGAACCAAGGTGTCCACAGTCTTCCCGTAAAAAGAAATTTGTGATTTTGAATTAATCACGCTCTCACTCTCAGCTGGTTGCTATATTCATGGCTGCGAACAATTGTCTTCCGAAGGACGTTCCAAATAACCTGTAAATAGTGAGACATACGTATTAATTCGAATTGCAAATTAATCTTAAATTGAAATCTAAAGAATAGTGTGGCGTAGATAATTGAGTGTACACAGTTAATTGCATTGGACAGTACATAATTTTGTGATCAGGGTCACTATACTGGAAGAAGTGACGGACTACACATTTTCTTGATTGTTACTTTAAACTAAAAGCCGTGTTTGTATTGCATTAATTTTGATGACGAATACTGAATTTCCAAGTGGTCAAATCGTACTGCTGTTGTGTGCAGTAGTTTTAACCGAGCAGTGGCTAAAACAATAGATAAGAATTTGCACATGCATTGTTTTATCCTATTAAATTATGGACATATTCAGAGAAAAGCTGAGAAAGACTTAACTTTTCTGCATTAGTCTGGTTGTTCTTTAATGTTAAGCTGGACACTCACTGCGTCTTGCGACGGTCGTACGACAAATCCTCATTTGCTTCCGGCGAGCGATAGACGACACAACGCCGTCTACCGATTGTCAGTGGCAATCTGAACGGATCCTCATTAAAAAGACAATCCGTTGGGTACGCGTCTTCGCCGCGTTGTCATTTCCATCGCACGCAGTGAGTAACCAGCTTTAGGCTTTGTGCAGATTATCAAATTTTCATTGACAAAAAACCGATTTATGCCCATATATAGTCATGACATGGATATATATTGTCATAATGTGATGTCATCATGACCATATTTAGGCATGTCCCATGTTTTTTGTCAAATAATATTTGATAATCTAGACAGGGTGTGGTCTGTGCCAGCTACAGTAGGCTTCTGTTGAATCCAACACTGCAAATTTATTGAATTTTCCTTTGAAGACTGTTACTGTATAGCTCAACAGAGACACCTGTAAACATTTTACCGTAATAATACAAGTTTAATCTATTTAATATGCATTCATGGTCAACACACAGAAGTGACTGCTTCCAAAGGTCCCTCAACATGATTTTAACAAATCATTTCGCAGACATCGTTATTTGCAGATTTATAGTAGTATAGCTTATACAGATGCAAATGGCCTCTTGGGTCTAATTTCTTCATGAGTGCTCACTTTAATGTAACATCAAAAGTACAATTTAGTGTAGCAGCACATTATCAAATCCAGAACTTGCAGTAGATTTTTTTTTTTTAATTTTCACCAGAGACTGCCTTGTGATCTCCCAAAATAAGATCTTCTTTTTATATAAATAAAAGCATTTATTGATCCCATTACTAAACTGTTTACATTTACAATACAAATAAAATTTATTTTCATTTTCTCCTCCATCTGGATGCTTTAGGCAAATCATTTGCAAAATAAGAAGAAAAAAATTAAATTTTTATTTTTTTCCAAGCTCCGTTGTCGATCTTTAAAAAAATGTTAAAGTTCGCTAAAAAAGGAATAAAAAATTCTTGCCGGTACAGTATGCATGATATCAATAAAAATCCCCATGGGTATTATTTAATCTGGAAAAGAGTGTACATTGTGCAACACAATTAATACAATTTTGTTTAATTACTCAAAAAAAGTGATTTTATCTCTTTTTTAAGAGAGGCAATAGTTGCTCTCTTCACAAACAAACACACAATGACAGTTCAAATAACTAATACTATAGGTCGAGGGCAGGTTTTGTGATCAAATTTAAATATCTCTAAAGAAAATAAAACCCTTTCAATGAATTATGTTAAAAACTTGCAATCATCATATGTTGTCAATAAAAAAATTGAAGCTACAGTATAAACAATTATATAAATTAATGGAGAATAACAAAATGAGAGATGATGACAAATTATAATGGTGTATGGAATTTGAAAGTAATTTGCTTTCAAGTTATTCTTCTTTCTTTATACTTTAAGTTTATGTGCATACTAATCCTATAGCTGAAACATTTTTTTCTAATATTACAAAATCTGCAGTTTGGGAATACACAAGTTGTGTACATTGTAATGTTTTAATTTAACAAGGAGATAATTAAGAAGATAGTCCACTATTATCGTTGAGCTTTCATCCAATAAACAGTGACAATTGCGGCCTATGCTGCTGTACAACTTTACGCTCAACACCGCTGTTATTAGTTGCAGTTGTCTTTGCGCAGACACTGACGCACCAGCGTTACCAAAAATTCTCTCCAACCTCTATCAGCAAGTTAACATCGTGTGGAGTAAATGACATATGAACCTCTGTATAATGAGAAGAAAAAAGGCAAAAGTAGCCTCAAATCCAGCCATTTTTTACGATATTTAAATTGGCTTTTTCCAACACACATTTTTAATACTAAGAATGTAAAAATTGACCTTGAGTTATAATATTACTGTATATAAATGCAAGTTTTACTATTTTGTAAAGTGTTGTTTTTATCGGGTATAATTTATCATTTTTGCTGTTTTCTGAACACATTGAGAATGTTAAAATTTAGTTTATTGTAACATAATGAAATGCATTAACTGTGTGATGGTCCACGTTGAATGACCGTCCACCTTGTTCCACATTTAAAACATAGTGTTTTCATCCACCTGTTTTTTCGCTGCTTGATCTACAATCCTGTCAGTAAGTACAGCAGGCCTAGGCCGGAAATATCCTAGGCAGGTCTAGTCAAACATTACTGCATACAAAAATGACAGATTATGGTTGCGTGACGTCTTCCGTTATCGCAATAACTAATTAACTTTGTTTATTTTATGACTGTCAGTATGTCTTTGTGTATGTTTGATCCCAATTGCGAACCCTCTCATCCTTAATTATTTCCTTCATAATTTGAATGACAATGTTCAACCAATTGGTAGTGGTAGTGTAGAATTTAGTGGCGGACCATCAAGGCAAGCAAGGTATGCAGTGCATACCCTGGCTAAAACAAATAAAAAAAAAATATATAGTAGTACTTTTTCTCCATTTTATTTAGCATTTCTTAGTCAGGATCTTCTATATACACCTTAATTTTTCAAGTGGAATGCTATTCATTGGAATAGCAAAGTTTTCAATGTTTGGCCTACTTTGTTACCTAGGGTAAGTCACAGTGGGGCCTATCGCATCGTACTCTAGCTGCTTAGAATTTCCGCATGGCTGGTCTTCGATATCAGCCAATCACATATTCAGTGAGTCAATGGAAGTCAGAGCATACCCTACAACGCTTAAATTTGCTATTGTGACAACCGTGTGGTGGCGTCAGAATAGCCAATTTAACACTGGAATGGAAGCAAAGCAGTGCTTCTAAGAGTATGTGCGCATGCTCTTCTTCTCACAAATCGGGAACTCCACCGCCGATCGGGTATTCTATCTATAAGCCTAATCTGAATGATTAAAGTTTAAATATATTTACATACATATGACCGGTGTAGAAGAAACTTTGAATTATTATTTAATTTGAATTGAAATTTGTTAAAATACAGGAATAAGAATTCTTTTGAAGAGAAGACAACTATGCTGGTATTAAAAATAACATAGGCCTACATTGTATTTTGACTATACAACGCAATCTGATTCAGTATAAGTAGCAGGAGGGAGGGACGTGTAGGGAGGGACGTGCACATCCCAGGCTTACAAACTTTTCCTATCACTAGCAAGCCCTAGCATCAGTGGTGTAGGGGTCTTGAAATGGAAGGGAGCTGATGGGGACAGGAAGGTAAAGTGGGGGAATTGATGATTAGGTGAGGGGAAAACTCACAAAATAAAGTGATATGAGGTGATTTTTAACTACTTGAGCATGATCTGTGGGCGGGGGCGTGACTGGGGAATGGGCAGTTTACCTGACTGTAAGTTGGCTTTATTTTGACTTGGATTCTTCTAGGAATTACACGATTCTCACAATTCACATACTGTACAGCAGATTAATTTTTATGACGTCGTTTACAGTTCACAAAATGAGTAACATCCTATTCCTAAATCTGACATCTTCACACTGGACTTGCTTCTGCTGGCTTTCTTCTTAGGTGCCGCAACACTAGCCACTATTTATTGCTATCCAACAACTCAAAAAGAATGTGTACATGTAGGCATACATGACCTATGAGCATGTCATGTGAGAAGTACAGTGTGGCAACTATGCATCCCACCGCAATGCCTTCAATTCGTTTGACTGACGTTCCCTTTTCATATTTTGTGGGGATACAGTATGTATGGAGTTGCAATGCGCAAATTATGTTCAACCTAGTTGTCACCGTCACCTAAAATGCATCCACTATGCAGAATGAACATAAACTGGCACACTCGATAGTTGTGCCTAGGAATAGGATGCATAATGTAATTCACGAACAGTTCAAGAAGTTAAACCTGAAAATTAAGTTGCTACAAATTTTGAAAACCGTTTAAACGCTTTTTAATCTACTGCGCACCTAACAAACACATTTAAAAGTACTTCCCTCGTTGGTAGGTACAGTATTACAATGCATGTCATAATGCGGTGCAGTGTCTGATGAAAGTTCGCGCAAATGGTGCCTTTAGCCTACCTTCTGTTAGTCTACCTGAAAGCATTTAGATATAAAATTGTAATTTTATACTTCCAAATCAAAAGAAAGCAGGAATTGCAACTAGGCTAGGCCTAGTAGTAATTAATTTGATTTGAATTTGATTTGAATTTATTTAGCCATCAGAGTAAAATACAAAAACAATTGAAGACAAAACAAGATAAAACAAAACAATTACTCTGAAAGCAAGGAATAGCCCAAAAATGTTTCAAAGAAACGTATTTCCATTGGGATCCTGCGAACGAAACATTCAATTGACAAAGGGAAGTACAGGAAAGGGATCAACACAAAGCAAAAATGGAAAAGGGATTATTTACAATTTTAAAAGTTAAGATAATATAGATAGTAACCTACTGTAGGTAGGCCTAATCTACTGTAGGCCTTGCCCTACCTACCTAAAGCTACAGTATGCTAGGCCTAGAATAAAATGTTGAAAAGCAATGCTAACGGTTGCAATGAGTCTGCATTACAACAAATTAATTGGAACTGATAGTATAAAAAAAAACATGTGCTATTAATGTACTGTAGGTACGTGA